ATTTTGCACGCCACCAATTTTCGAAATATTTGGTTTTATAAATTTTACATATTATTTATTTACCATATAGTTTGTGTGGGTATAACAGGAATTTGTGTATTAATAGGAAAAATATTAAGATAAAATGAACATTTTAAAAATTTAATTTATAAAAAATGTAAACAAAAAATTAATTAACTCTTTCATTTTTTGTTAAATACAAAATGGTTTAATTAGTAAAAATAAATTGAGTCATGTTACCTTTGACAGGTTTCTGTATATACATATGTATATGTAAAACATTTTCGAACACACTCATTTTAATTTTAAAATGATGCCATTTTTCTTCAACAACTAAAATTATGAGCTTATATTCATATGACCATACACGAGTAAATTATTAAGATGACATTCTATTAAAACAATTTTGTTAAAATTTTATATTGCATACATTTAGGGAGATCTTAAAGAAAAATTGTGTTAATATTATGAAAATTCAATTAGATTACAAATTTTTTGTAAGGCTCTTATTACAGACCGCATTGTATAAAAAAATGAAGGTTTTTTGAAGACATCAAATTTCGCGTGTAGAGTTTTCTCTGCAAACGTATTTCTTCATGGTATAGCGAAACTTAAATCAATTTTAGAAAGATGTCATCTGTCGGTTTATATGGGCACGAGTGTACTAATCAAATTTGAAATAAGTCAAGCTTTAAGTACTCGGCATTTTCACTCGGCCGATTTTATATTTTCATAAATTTTAAAGAAAATGTTCAACAGATTAATTTGAAATTTTTAACATAAACTTCGTCGGACAACATATACTGAACGTATAACAAGAACTAGACTTTTACTACTTAAAAAAAATTTTGCGAGTGCAAAGAAAAATGATCAATGAATTTCTTTGCTATTTAATATTTAAATAGTAGCTCCTAAAGCGATGCATCTGTAATTTTTTTGAGAGTATCAGATTTTGGAAACTGAATTAGGGGCTGATTTTGCATTTTTTAAATGTCTAAGGAATTAGTCGACGGAATTTCTTAAAATTTATCACTTAAGTACTTTTTGATACTAAAACTGACGAATTCATTTGGCAGGAAATCAGCAATTTATAAAAAGATCGTCTACACTAATTTTTTTTCTAATCTTATTCAATATACTTTGCGGTCAGTTATTAGTTAACAACATGAGATTTTGTGAAATTTACAAATTGCTTATATAGGTTATATGCAATAAACTCGAAACCTCTTCAGTAGAGACTTTATAACTTAATAGGAGAATAGATGAATGAAAATTTTGTACTAGAAAACTAAATGTTTAAAAATTTTCTATAAAATTTTACATTTCTTTTTTGAAGGTTGTACAGTTTTGAAAAAGAGAAGCAGAAACACAGAATGTAAAACTAATAAGTGAACTTTTCCCATAAATTTTTCAGAAATATATTAAAGAGCAAATCTAGCTATTTGTTTTCGAAAACTAAAACAAAAACTAAGATTATTTAAATATTTTATTTTAAAATTTTTATTAAAATATTTAAAACGCAAATGTAAAAGACAAACAATCATTTTTATCTATACAAATTTAAAAATTTTAAACAGCTTTTTACTCTTCAAATGCCATTTCCCATATTATAAGTTATTCTAAACCCACATAACTATATAAAAAAAATTTTTTGCCTCAATAATGCCTTTAGTTTAAAATTCTAAATTTAAAAGAGCGAATAAAATTTTATTGCAAACAACACGGCTACTTAACAACACGTAAAACTCACATATTTCAATTTATTCTTTGTTGTTAAATAGAGCATTGTTGAAATATAACACAACTAAACTGTATACGATTTTAAAAGTCAGATATAAAAAGGAGTGTTTCGAATATATTGTTATAAATAACTTTACCATAAAAATCAAAACTATACACTTTCAAACTTTACATTTATTCATATACAAAGAATTTTCTCCTTTAATCCGATAATACACGTACATATGAACGATGTTTGTATACTCGTATATATATAGATTATATGCTATTTTTATAAAAATATGTCTACGTATAAAAGTATAGAAGTAGTAAAATAGAAGCTTCCCATTCTTATTATTCTTAATTTTGTTGCATGCATACCTATGTACGTATTTAGAGATCTGTATTATTTTGATATTAAATTACAGCACACACATGATAGTAAAATTTATATACAGTATAATTCATTTTAGCCAGATCGTTTATCTCGGTTTTAAATCCAATTGTACCCCAGCTTTAAAATCATAACGGTCAAACAAAATTGAATTGTTTAATAATTGCAGTATATTTAAAAATTTTATTAATCTACACTTACATACTTAATGTAATTTAGTTGAGTCTTAAGCTTAGTGTAACTAAACTGAAGTTGAAGAATTCATTAAAATGTGTGAAAAGTGCTCTGAAAGCAAAAAAGTTGAAAACCGTTACAAATTAAAAGAGAGATGAAAACCATTTATACCAAAATTAATATTGCCAATTGAATCAGCCATTGTAAAGTTTACAAATAAAACGAGGACGTGCAAGGAAATATGTTTATATTCTGATACAGTTACAGTTACAAAATATATACAGCACCTATGTATATATTCCAATATAGGTTTGAGATCTGTCGTTCCATATTTCGAACGCTACTCTTATGAGGAAGGAAATAAGTGTTGAAATGAAACTAGGTGTACGAAAGCAACCCACACAATTACAAACGCAAATACGAACGAAAGAAAGAGTACGATCGGGAATCAAAAAACCTACGAAAATAGCCCACCCATGCAATATATTAGTAATATAATAGGGAGAAGAAAGATTCAAACTTTGAGAGTTTAAATCACATTAGAAAGCAACAATTCATGCCATGATTTGTGCATTCAAATAAACATTTTAGTTCTAAAGCTTATGTAGACGCAACATAAGCTTTATATAACAAATTTCCTTACACATTAAAATTTCATTGATAGGTTATTTCAAATTCATCGAAGTTTAGTTGAAAAAATAGGTTAGCTCAAAATGACACACCCTGTATAATTCCTAGCTAATTATTTTATAACGCATCATGCAACACTTTTTTATTAACTATTAAGATTTAATGTGGTGTGCATGCATATATTGTTAGTGTAAACTGCATAATATAAGAAAATGAAACTATATACATATTTGTGTCGTGACAGGAAAATAAGGTAATTTAAAGTTTTAGTTTATGCATTTTTAAAGATTTAATTAAAATATATTATTTTTCTTCTCTCATTTTTCCTTTCTTCATATTAATGTATAAGTAGGAGTAATATTTTTAAAATACATGACATATAATAAAATTTCGTAAATCACGCAATACTATGCCAATTTTCAAAGGTGAACTAAAAATATCAATGAAAAACAGAAACTTAAAAAAATTTTTACTAAATAATATTTTTTTTCAAAAAAAAAATATATTAATTATTTTTTGAAATCTTGAGGGTAAAATAGTGTGCAGTCCGGTTGACAAAATTTAATTAATTTAGAAATACAATTGAAATTTTTGAATATACGACAAATTAATGTTAAATCTGCATTTGAGTATGAATCGCTTAATTGTAGCTGAAATTATTTGAATATAGCCAATGTTCATTGCGAAAATCCTAAAATAGTAAGAAGAGAAATATACATTCTTACGGTTAAATATAGATTCTGGAGGAAATTCTTATTTATTTAATTTTAAGATTTGCTTCATTAAATGTCAATTATTTAATTTTGTATTCCACATTTTCATAGTTCAACAATTCATAATTATTAGTAGTTGAATTATGTATTAATACTGTATCATTGCATTTTGGCAATCAAAAAATCTTTAACTTTTAATTGATTTTCATATGTATAAATTTTTAAAACTTTCATTTATTTATATGCTATTTCTGTTAGCTGTTTAATGTTTTAGTCCAAAATTATGAATTTTACAATAAATTCTGGAAACTATTTTTTCTTTAATACTCGTAAGTATCAGTCTAGATAGTTAATTAGATATAACAAAAATCGAAAATTCAATAGCAACATTTTAATTGGCAAAATGTATATTTATTGCAATGCAACTACCATATCCATACACCAGTAAATCTTTCTAATGTATATAGCTAAAATCGAATAAATTACAAGAATTCAAAAAAAAAAAAATAATAAACGTTACCCGCCACATTTTTAAGGTCATTGTTTCATAAAATGTTTTTGAATCAGCACTTGTTTGATCTACTCGTATTTTAAATTTAATTGAAACCTTTTTATAAGTGTTATATTTTAAACAAACCAAAAAATTTATCAATTTTCAAAATTGTATATGAACGAAATATTTTGCATATTTACATTTCATGGAAACATTTACCTACTATTCTACATTTAAAAACACTTTACAATTATAGACAACAGTAAATTTTCAACAAAATGTTGCTCAACATTCTTCACAAAAAAACTCAACACTTTTCCATTTAACTTTTGGAAAACGAATTTCCAATGGAATTTTATTTATTTTATTCTGTCAGCTTTTTTATTATAAAAACTTTGAAAACAATAACGGCATTTCACCCAAAATGTGAAAAATTTTTATGAAAACAAACCTCCTGTTGCGAGTAAAATATTCATTCAAAACTTCCATTTGAATGTGTGTTAGTATTTCTGTGTTATTTAAAAATTTTTATATTTTTGTATTTATATATTTTTAAGGGTGAAGGTGAATACTGGTGAACAAAATATTATAATAAAATAACGTTAACCGATAAAAAATCTCTTAGTTTTCTTGTTGAATTCGGAGTAAACAGATGTAAAAGCGAAGCAAATAATTTTTGTCTCTATATAAAAAATAAAATAAAAAAAAATAATAAAACACAAAAATCAAGTGTTAAAATTAAAATTATATTTAATAAAATTTTTTTTCTAATCATTTCAATTAAATTAAAATATGTGAAAATTGAAAAATAAAGGAAAATTTTAATTAAAAAAGTTGTAGAAATCCGATTTCTATTTCATTGAAAAATAAAAATTTTGAAGTATTAAAAAAATATCAAGAAACAAGTTTCAACAAAGTGTCAGCTTATCAAAATTATGTTTTATAATAAAAATTTGGACAATTTGTAAACAATCATCTTATTTCGGAGTACTTTAAAAGGTAAAATCTTATAACGTTGATATAGGTATTTATTTTGCAGATATGCAAATCAAGGACAAAAATGTTAAGTAACTATATGTACGTTGCTTTTAAATAACAATTCAGTGGTGGCACATAGCATAAAATTTACTTAACCCTATTCCATTTCATTTCATCATATTGTACAGTTTCAAATCTAAAAATCTAATATGATTATACCCGTACGAACGTATGTTCGAAGAGTAAACTAAATTTGACTTACCGTTTGTAACGCTAAGAAATATCTGTCTTAGATATAGACTCAAGTGTATGTTTTTGATCAGCTTAAGATTCTGAGTTGATTTAGCTTTGTCTGTTCGTCCGTCCGTCCCAGCGATAACTCAAAAACTAATTGAGCTAAGTTCACCAAATTTTCACAAATGATTTATTGTAGTAAGTGCCAGAACCTTATTTATATTGGACATGATCCGGGTAGCGGTTCGGGTAGCTGCCATACAACTTCAAAATTTATTTGGCTATATCTCAGAAACTATAAAAGCTATGGTATTGATATTTCACACAAACGAATATATTAGTAGGGCCAATATGTCTCGTAAAAGTCGATGAAATTACTTGGATCCTTCTGATACCTGCCATACAACTTATAGTAGAAATTTTGCATATGTTAATATGGTAATACGGCAGCTTAAAATCATAGTCTGTCCCATAGTCAGTTATGGCATCTTTATTCGCACATAGGATAACAAATTCGTACGAGTATCAAAGAGTTGACTAGGTCAACTCTATTTTTTCTCGCTTTAATCTTTTTTTCCGATTTTTGTCATCTTATAAAAATTTCGATTTTCTTTTATACCCATATAAAAGTACTTAAGTAAATCCGCTAACATAACTCGACTTCACTCTTTGTAAATTTGAATATTACACTTAATGTATGATTTAAAAATAAATAGTTTCATCCTGTTTGAAAATTTTAGACTATTGAACTATATTGAAAATGTAATCTTATTGCAAAATCCAATCAAATATCAACTAATTTTATCTTATTTACATTAGTAATACATATACATTAGCATTTTTTAAGCAATTTTCCGAAAGGAATTTTGAAAAAAAGTGCTTATTAGTTTCATTCTGTCCGTTTGTCCGTGGGCTTCTTTGCTAGAAACTTATTTCCGTAGAAGAAAATTTTTACCTATATTTTCTTTTTGTTTTATTTCAATAATTGCATATATTTCTCATCCTAAATCTATGTAATCTTAGTAATTTTAATAATGTAGTATGTACATGGATTATTTTTTAAAAACGGTTTTAATTGTCACTTGTTGAAGGGAAAAGTGCTACATTACAAACCATTGATTTGACTCAACTTTATTCTAAATTAGATACTCTTAAGCATCATACAATTTAATTATTTTGTATCAATTTTCTTTAATAACAAAAACTTAAAATTTTATTAATTATGTTATTTCTTTTAACAAATATTTACTATTTAAATTAATTAACTTCAATTTGATTACAAAAAATTACCAAATATAAAGAAAATAAAAACATGTATATACCAAATAATTATAAAGCACACGAAATCTCAATAAAAAGACTTCATTTCAAAAATTACTTATTTAACTTTTTACTTTAATTATCAATTAATCAAAAGGATTGCGAACGCACCTGATGTAATTAATTTTGATAAATTGTATAATTCATCTGTAAGTACACTAAAAAAAGAATGAAATTACTTAATATTGTGAAAAAGAAATAATCAATTTTGTTAATTACTTTTATAACAGATAGTGTTTCGAGAGATATTGAAAATTTTAATTTCACAAAGGAACTTCATCAATATGTATATTGGACTTAAATTATCCAAAAAAGTATTTATTTATTGTTTGTATTCTGTACACGACCGAAGACTATGTACATATAAACATATGTATGTAGATAAGTACATACTTTTTACTCAAACGATAAATATTTTTATCTTTTATTATGCAATTATTTCTTTCAAAAATAAATTTTATGGTGAATTGCGTTTCCCAGGGACTGGGATGAAATTTTTTTCATTGTTGAAATTTATTCACAAAAAGAAATTTCATTCATTTTCAAAATTATATGCAAAAATTCTTCTGGAATATATTTTGCTTGTTGAATCATTTCAACAAAATGCAAAGCTATTCAATGTACTTATTTGAGTTCGTAGAAAATTCATTTTAAAAGAATAAATATGAAGATTCATGAATGAATACAATTAGTATAAAAATTTTCAAAAATTTTAAAAATCAAATCCTTGGCATTATAATTTCGTTAATTTTGACATTGAAAATAGTAAGCTTTCTGTTAATACATAAATCTTAAAGCTTCCTCTAAAAATTCTTTGTTCTATTTGTGTAATAACAGTTTTACCATTATTGTTTGACATGAAACTTGAACAATCTATTACTTTTCCCAACTCCTACTTATAAGCTATATTTGGTTAGTACTCGTATTATTACAATATAATATTTATAACCCACCCTTATAATTTTCGATATAAAAATTTATGACTAAATATGCTAAAATACTCCTGTAAACTGGTTCTGATCACATCTGCACAATAGAGCAAATTGTAGAAAATATTTTTTTCCCGCCAATATTTTATCATATAAATAACAACACATTTTCACCATATAACAGTATCATTTGCTAATTTTATATAACACTGTAGCAAACTGTAACAAGTTGCATTTAAAATTATTTATATACAAATTTTGCTTAGAGTATTTTAAAGTACAACATAAAAAAATGTACACGTATCTTAATATTAAAATCATAAAATTGTCTGGAGTAGTAATCATAAAAAAAAAGAATTTTTTGGGCAATTTCCTACTTCCTAAACCCATAAAACTTCTTAAGATTTCCGAACTTTTTAAGTGTCAAACTTTTTCTATTTTTTCTGTTTTTCTTTTTAATTTTATCCATTTACAATTTTTTAAAAGACTATTAAAATAATAATTTACTTTAAACAAGGTAATAACTTTTAATTGGAAAATATCAAAACTAATTGCCAACTATAAATACCTCGGAATAGAAATAAATTGACTTGAAAGGGAAAATACCGAGAAAAAATGCAAAAATAAAAAATAAAAATTTTGTGTTATTTGTTCGCTTTTGATTTACAATGGCTCTTTTGCAGTTCTTAGATGAAATTGTTTTTGAGTAATTACTCAAATGGTATTTTTTCTATATTTAATTGTTATATTGAATTCAATTGAATAAAACTTGATGAATTAATAAAAAAAAATTAAAAAGTATTCCGGTATTTATTTCAATTATTGATTATATAGAATTTATGCCTTGCTATTCAATTAAATTAAAGTTAAATTTGATTATTTGAAATCGTTCTTCCAGATTTTGTATGTTAAACTCATTGTACGTGGATTCCGTTTGATCTCATGAAAATTTAATAAAAGTTTTAATATTTAAGCGGCAATGGATTTAGTTGAATGAATGCTCATTAAAAAAAATCCTTGAAAAATTCCTCAAAATTAAACCTTGATAAATAAATCCCGCTCAAAATTTTTAAACCTGCAACAGTCATATAAATTTCGCTAACATTTTTTAACAACAGCAAGCATAATTGGTTCAGGCATAAAAAATTTCTAAACCAATGCATAAAAATTAAAAAAAAATTAGTAAACTGAGTGTCTTTTTTTCGATGTTGTTTTTCTTAAACCAAATTTTAAAATTTAGTAAGCTTATTTTAAGTTAACGCGGCCCCAATAAGGATACACAAAGATCACCTAAGACCACCGCCCGTTGTGGTACAGCCGGATCGCTTCTTTTCCGCCCATCATTCGAACCAGCCAGAAATCCTCATAAATCGGTTAAAATCCCTAACATTTACATCCGCTAAGTTCGCAGCGCAACCGAAGAAGTAAGACCGAAGAAATTTCTGCCTGCAATTTTCCAGCGCCGGGCATAAGCACAAAAGGTGTGTCACCTCCTCCTCCTCCCCCTCGTCGCAGCAGCTTTTGCAGGTATCGTTTGCGAGGCGGGTCATTCTATTTGAATCCTTTGCATCTAGATATATAGTTACTTTTTTAAATTGTGAATAACAATATTTTTGAAAAATTTCAAACAATAATCTGAAAATATTTCAAAGTGAATCTCTAGAGAAACGATTTATTAAGTAAACTTAAATTTTATATCAACATTTCGACATGAAAAGTTCTGATAAAATTATAAAATTTGAACTGGATTGCATATTTAGTTTTATACTTATTTAACAACAATCATTATAATTTATTATAAAATTTTCTCTCCATAGGGAAACAAATGATCCCTTAAATACTGCATATTATAGATGTTATATAAAGAAAACGTTAACACTATTGCTAGTCTCTATATAGCTGTTTTAAAAATTTAAAATATTTTAAGATATTTGTGAAGTTTTAAAATGACAAAAAGTAAAAACAAAATACATAAAATCTAGAAAAATGAATCCAATCTTTAAAAAACATTTATTATCCTTTCATATCATTAAATGAAGAAAGCAAAAGACAGCTACTACTAGTGCAATATACAAATTTGTATAATCTAATAATATGTAGATCGCAATCTATATCCATAAAGTTATGCATTTTCATAAGAAATTAAAAAGATTAAATTTTGATATGGGAATAGTTAAAGTAAACAAATAAAGTTTTATATTTAATTGATGAACATAAGTATAAAAGAGCATGAACCTTATTTCGATAAAGAAATCGAAAGGTTTTCCATTGGGAAAAATTCTTCTAATATCTGTATTAAAAAGATAAAATAATATGACTTCTAAAGGTCGATTAATGATTAAAAGTAATCGACATGGTTATTAGATTTGCTAACATAGTAATCTGTTCATCTATGCAAACAATAACAAAAATTTAAGTCATGTGAGTTGGAATTCAAGCGAATCGTAACCAAAATTTTGTTTAATTACATTATATAAATATTAAGCGGTTAGTATAAGCCTGATGCCCTTACCGAATAATCGCTGACATTTTAACTTT